TCAGGCTCTGGCCAACCCTCAATCTACACTCTTTCCCTTAATAGCAGTCTGACTTAAATACCAATAATATAATGCTAAGTCTTAAATTTATACCTCTAAAAATTTTTTTTAATTATGATAAAATACACATAAAATTTACTATCTTACCCACTTTTAAGTGTTTAGTGCAGTAGTGTTAAGTATGTGCACACTGTTGTGCAACCAATCTCCAGAAATTTTTCACCTTGCAGAACCGAAACTCTGTACCCATTAATAACTCCCCATTCTTCCCTCTTCCAGTTCCTGGCAACCACCATTCTACTTTCTGTTTCTATGGATTTGACTACTCTAGATACCTCATATCACTGGAGTCATACAGTATTTGTTGTTGTTTTTCTGAATGTGACTGGCTTATTTCACTTAGCATAATGTCCTCAAGGTTCATTCATGTTTCAGCATGTGTCAGGATTACACTTACACACACACACACACACACACACACGACCACCACACCACATTTTGTTTCTCCATTTGTTTGTTGATGAAACCTAGATTGCTTCCACCTTTTGGCTACTGTATGTAATGCTGCTAAGAACATGTGTGTACAAGTATCTGTTTAAGTTTAAGTTGGTAATTCTAGTTATAATTTTTTGAGGAACCACCATACTCTTTTCCCACAGTGGCTGAACCATGTTACACTCCCACCAACACAAGGGTTTCAGTTTCTCCACTGCCTCACCAATACTCGTTATACTTGTTTTTTGACTGTAACCATCCTAATGGGTGTGAGGTGATATTTCACTGTGGTTTGGATTTGCATTTCCCCAGTGGCTAGTGATGTTGAGCATATTTTCATGTGTTTGCTGGTCATTTGCATATCTTTTTTGAAGAAATATCTATTCAAATCCTTTTCTCATTTTTAAAATTGAGTTGTTTTTTTTGTTTGTTTTTGGTAGGAGTTCTTTATATATTCTGGATATTAACCCCTTATCAGATACGTGACTTACAAAATATTTTTTCCTATTCCATAGGTTGCATTTTCACTTTACTGTGTCCTTTGATGTCTATACTTCTAGCTTTTACCTTACCCCTAAGCTCCATATTTATCACCTAATTGCCTAGTTGAAATCTTCATGTAAATATATAATAAGTACCTCAACCATAACATGTCCAAAGAGAACTTTCAAATCCCTTTTTTAGATTCATTCATACTCCAGCTTAACCCATCTCAGTAAATGCAACCATCTTTTACCAATAGGTTAAGCAAAAAGCCTAGTTTTTTTTCTTCTTACTCAACTTACAGTCTGTTAGCAAGCATGGTCAACTTGTTCTTTAATATATATATAATGACATAATCATTTATCAGCACCACTTCTATCACAGTCTAAGCTACCATTGTTAAACTACTGCAGTAACTCTCAAACTGGTCTTCTGCTTTCTTTTTTTTTTTTTTTTTTTTTTGCGGTCCGCGGGCCTCTCACTGTTGTGGCCTCTCCCGTTGCGGAGCACAGGCTCCGGACGCGCAGGCCCAGCCGCCCCACGGCATGTGGGATCTTCCCAGACCGGGGCACGAACCCGTGTCCCCTGCATCTGCAGGCGGACTCTCAACCACTGCGCCACCAGGGACGCCCTTCTGCTCTCTTTCTTGTTCCACTAAACACATCATATCTTAGTGACAACACGTAACTTTTGCTCTCAAATGCCTCTAATAGTTTCCCATCACATTTAGGAAAAAAAGATTCTTATAATGCTCTATAAGGTCCCATATCCCCTGGGTTCTCTCTACCCCTCTTACCAAAACGTGTAGGATGCAACTAAAGCCACATTTAGAGGAGAGTCTATGGCCTTAAATGCAAATAGAAAAAAGAAATTCTTAAAGTGAATCACCTAAACATCTATTTCAAGAAGTTAGAAGAAGAATAGCAAACTGAGACCTCAAAAAGTAGAATAAAGTAAAAAACAAAGATAGGCAGAATAAATAAAACAGAAACAAATATATAATAGGATTTCTGGCAAGACTGGCCAAGAAAAATAGACTACCTTACAGATTAAATGTTAATTACAAAGAAAAAAAATACAATGGAGTAACCTGGCAAACACCACCCAAACCAAGTGATCAAAGGTAACAACACTAATAATGGGACAGAATGACATTATGTGCCTCCGTAAATAATACACTGAGAAAGATAGGTCACCAATGCAATAATCCTACCAAAAATGTATAGCCTGAGTTTAATCTGGAAGAACCAAAAAACATACTCTAATTGAAGGACATTCTATAAAAGTGGCCAGTATTCTTCAAAAATACCAGCCATAAAATCC